TTCGTAGAATAAATTATTGAAAGCGTTCGCATCAAGAAATGTGTTCCTAGTTTCAACTAATACTGCATTTTTTTACACAGTCTTTAGGTAGCCATGAATTTGCTCAGCAAGAAAAAGGAAGAATTCTCGACAAGTCTTGGAAATTTAATTTATTACACAGATGAGCTTTTTTGGTTTCTGAGATCAAACGTCTGCACAGTAGATTGCTTCCATGCAATTAAATTCAAAAACAGTCCTATTTTCTTTATTTGCTTCTAATATTATATTCATATTGGAAGCAAAACGTTTAAAAGCAAATCCAGTTCTTGATCTTAGCCATGACGAAAGAATCCTACGCAAAATATGTTTGTAAAATCCAAGTCAATAAGACATTCAAGCAAGCAAACAGTCAACCCAAAATGATAAAAAAAGGCCATGTTTCTATAGAATAATCGGTCTAATACATAAAAAAGGAACGTGTTATTGTTAACTTCTAATAAGCAAATAATAAAGGAAGAAAAGAAAAGAAGATAAAAAAAAGGAGGAGTTCTTTTCCGTGTTAGGAAGTTGATGGTGCGGAAACGAATGCCTTTGAAGGTGAAAGTGGTTGGGGTTCCTTAACAGTCGAATGAGCAACGACGGCATCTGACGTTTATTTCTTATTTTATTTAGTAATCTTTGTTTTATTTTATTTTATTACCAGTTATAACTCGGCTTTCGCACACTTTTTTTCTCCCCAATTTGCCCCTAATTTTGTATGATAAACAGCCGCATTTTAGACCGTTCACACCATGAATGGGACTGAAAGGAATATGAATGAATCAGTTTCTGAGTTAGTTAAAAACCCATTAAACATTTTTTTACAAGTCTAATAAAAGGTAATGTGTAACATTCACAAAACCTAAGAAAAATACATTTCATATGCAATAAATTAAACAAACTACGCTAAAAAATTTGTTAACTCATTTGCAACTGTTGGTCTGTATTTTTGAAATTTACTATCAGAAACAATATTGAAGATATAGAAAAACCAGATACCCAATGAGAAGCGAATATCAAAATACCTGATACCATAGTTTCTTATTTAATACTTATGGAACAGTTATTAATTATAAAGCTTAGAAAAGTTTTTTCGTTTTATAACGGAAAGATTCTGACTACCGGCGTACTTAATAATAAAATAGTTTTGAATTTAATCACACGCTCTTGCACAAAATTTAATTATTGTCCAAAATTCCTGTGCTCTTAAAAGCATTAAGATATTTCAGAATTTTTCAGAAATTCTTCCATCCTTATTTGGAATGTAAAATGTTTAAAATATCTGAAGAGCTGAAAAAGGATAATGAAACTGCTTAAAATATCAGACAAAATCAATTCGAATATGGTGTTTATGTAGCATTATTGACTTTTAAAAAGAGATGACATAATTTTCTGAAAATTTAAGAAACAGCCTAATTACAAAATTACAGCTCTAAAAAGGTAAAAGTGTTTTAAAATGCTAAACTGAAGCACCAAAATTTATTTCTTAGTCTCTCAAAGAAACATGGTTTTGTTCGAATTTCTCGAAAAAATGAACCCACAAACTGAAGAAATATAAAAAATCTTATGTGGACACCGTATGACTTCCTTGCACGACATATTAAATAATTCTAATTTTTCCTGCACTTTACTCAAACTTTTTTCCTGGAATTAGTCTTCTAACTTTATTTATAAATACATCAAGGCAAAATGAAAATGAAATTAAAAATTTCAAATTTTGAAATTAAATATCCCAGTCAATTTTTGTCGTACGTCAAAAATCAAATTGAGACAAACTTCTTGTATTTTTAATTTTTTTAATAACGAGTATAAAACTTTCTCAAATATAAGTATCGGAATCAGGAGACCGTATTAAATGCTAAATTTCATACTCGTTCAAAAATGATTTTTGTCATCTGACATTGCCAAAATATGGATATTTTCGTCATTTAAGTCACATCTGTAACTGGAAGTATATGACTACGAGGAACGATTGCGAAAATAAAGGCCGGGTAAGGACTTCTAAGCTTGGTTTAGAAGGGGGTATACACACCCACATATATATACTTCCGGATATGATATGTATATACTGTCAATTGCAAATATAAAAGGGAAGTGCAAAATTCGATGTTATAGCAATCCCATATATAAAATTTCAACATTCCATGGATAATCATTTTTGTGAGCTGGAGATAGATATGTACGTACAAACGTCACGATAAAAATCACTTTTGAATCTATTTTAAAATTCGTTTTGGAATAAGGGTCCTTTATTCTGTCCGTATGTCATGTAAAAAAAAAAAAAAAAAGTCAAAATGAATATTACCGTTGAAATACGACGACAAAAAATTTTTCGCGAGTATAATACTTAAAAATAAGTAAATAAGTAAAAAATAGTCAAATGCACATTGAAATGCTGTCAGAATGACAGATTTCCTTTTCTGGTGTTGACGTTTCAAAGGATTATGAATGCAGCAGAAATGCTACAAACCTTTGCTCGGAGGGAAGGGAATAGAATATCGTATCAGATAAATCAATGTAATAGGCTCCGGTAAACTTAATAAGCAAATATATATTTATATAGGTGTGTGTGTGTGTGTTTGAGCGCGCGTAGTGAAATAAGAAAAGAATGATAATAATATGATAATAATATGATAGTAAAATTAATAATAAGGATGATGGAAACAACCAAAAGAATTAAATAATTAAAATCTGAATGTGTTCACAATTTAACGATTGCGCAAAAGGTCTCTTTTAAAGTTTCATATGGGTCATCAACAAGGATTATCGATAGAGATAGTCCAAGTAGAATAGCAAAACATTTTATAGGAATTAGATGAATATGCATTCAGATTAACAAGGGAACGTTATATATCTTTTATATAATTAAATAGCAAAAAAAATATCTAAGTAATTCTATAAAAACATTTGATTTTTAATTAGATAGATGTATCATGAATTAAATACATTTTTATTTAAATCAAAAGTAATATGTTTAAGTACTGCGTCTCATTGCTTTTAAGTAGTGTAGTTTGATGATTAATAACAGACAGATTAAAATTGAAAGAATAAGATCTTATATTTTTCCGAATGGCAACATGCTCAAATGAAAAGTGAAACAACGCTTTTTTTAGAGCGGGCCACGCAAAATCGCATTTTGCGACTAACAAGTCGAGACCTAGTAAGGCAAATATGACAATGTTCCTGTTCTTTTTTTTTATGCTGTTTTGATGAATTGTAATGTTATTTAAAGTTTTTTTTCCATTTTTTTCCTGAACTTATCGTGATGAATATTACCTTACAGCTTTTAGGAAGCAAAAATGCCATTTCTTACCTAGAATTAATTATGAATTCCTTAAAGATTTTATAAATATAAATCACTTTCAAACCGCATTAGGAATAAAACAACTTTCGCTAAGAAACTTATATTGCTAACAAATTAAAATTCAGCAAATTTTTTATCAAAACATGAAATAAGATATGTAAAATGATTGATCTACAAAACGGAGTTTTTTAAATGATGGATATGATAAAGTAATTAAAATTTTATTCATCTACGTTTATTAGTAAATATTTCAACTAATTCTAATGATTTTTTTTTTTTCTGAAATGATTTTATTGTCATCTTAACAAATAAATAACAAGAAAGAGAATCTCATTTGGTTGCTTCAAATCAACGAATTTATCACCCATCCAACGGTAATGCGTACAGAAATGAAAGCACTGCTTATCAAAATGAAAGCAATAAATGATATAACAAAAGTATTATTTATTTCGGATTACCTACTGTTGACAACTGACACTGCGATTACGAACAATAGTTTAACTTGAAATTTCATACACTTGCTGAAATCAAGGGGATGCGATAATTTTTCCGCAACTAAATAGTAATTTGTTTTTTTAATGTAAAAGATTCTGTTAGACAGAAATTTTTTTCATAAGCAACAGTAAAATAAAATTGGCTCATAATTTCATTACGCATGTAGTAAATAATAAAAATAATCATTTATCATCCATTAGGGATAAATCCTGGTATTTAAACTTAAATGTTGAGTTTAAATTCCAGACCACTGTTAATATTATCCTACATTGCCACTGCTAATCCTTAGTGATTTAGTTAAATGATTTCACATATTTAAATTATATTAAAATGAGTTACGATTTAAAGCTAGATAAAAAGTTTGGATTTCATTTATTATAAGAAACTTAGTTTTAATATATTATATAAAGAGAAGAAGAAGAGGAAAAATAGGTTGCACATGTTTTCAAGTTGCTGTGGTTTAACATTGGAAATGACAAGCGCAGATATACAAACAAAGAAACAGACAAAGAAAAAAATTAAAAAGCACGTTTTACGAAGAAATAAAATGCGAAATCTACAAGCTAAATTTAATATGTCTTTGAATTAAATGACGCACAACCTTTGGGTGCGACCTCTGTCAAGTGGTTGCCAAGCGTTCAATAAATACAGTTTATTTTTATGTTAATAATGTTTTAACTAAACTTTGAATGAAAGGAAGTTTTTGACATTCATGATAACTAAATAAATTAATTAGTGAATTAAAATACATGATCTTTTACAAGTATAATTTTTGACTCTACACTTTATTTGATATAATGAAGTTTTTCAATAAAAGAACTTTTCAAATATGCAGCCCTCATAAAGAGATAGCACACTCATTGCTTTAATCAATGAACTCCCTCTCAATTTTAACTTATTGCTAAATAGCAGTCTCGCCGAATCGAAATAGTTTACTTACATTATTATCATCGAGCTACAGCACAAAAGTTTTTGCAACAAAAATGCCTATACTTTCAAACTTGGTGACTAAATATTCAAAACACTTCTTTCCACATACAAAGAACTGACTGATTACACAATGAAATTATCTTTTAACTTCCTGCAGTTGTTTAAACAAATGACAGTACGTTAGTTCGCTATACAAATGGACATTGCGGCTGATTTATGTACTCATGCTATATATAAATAATAAATTCCTTACCTTTTCTTTGCTTCCAAAGGTACCAAATAAAAGCAGCGGCTAATCCTGCAGTCACTAGAGTAACCACAACCGTCGCAATAACGATGCCGGCCACACTGCCGGGCGTGTAACATCCTTCATCTTCGGCGTTAACCTTCGCAGCGAATCCACAACATACCAGCACCAAAACCAACCGCACGGCCGGCACACGACATGGAAACACACAACAGTCAAAATTGTTCCACTTAATTAATCCACGAAAGAAAACAATCGGCTCAAGTCTTTTTCATCACATCAAAAACACTTCTGGAAACACTGCATAGTAAAATTATTTTAATAGAGAAGAGCTTTTTGAATAAATTTATTGCCGTGTTCTTATTGTTACCCCGCGCGAAATGGTTTTTTATCCAACGCAAAACGGTTTGTTTACAGCAGCACGTGCGATTATCGTCTGCTTTATTTCGAATTCCCTGCCGAGATTAGCGGCGATGATGGAACTTTGCTTTTTCTAGAAGGGTTGCCGGGATTTTATTCACTTTACGAAGTAGAGAATGGAAGGTAGAGATGCTTGGCGACGGTTTATTAGCACAACAGGTGCCGAAGTGTAGTTGTGAAGTTTGATTTACAGGTGCACGACCCATTTTTAATGAGCGCGGCTTTCTTTCCCCCCCGTTTTTTTTTTAATTTACCTAAATCTGTTCGTACATATATTTTTTACACTTTTTTACTTAATATGTTTTATGGAAAAAATATAACTATTGTGACTACAATTTACTTTGATATAATGCAGTTCGAATACTGTCTCGGCTAAAATTCTTATCTGACTTTAATATTTAAAAAATATTTCGACTGAAGAGAAAACGCTTACAATTTACATTCATAATGAAAATCTCTATCTCAGTCAGGTTTCTGTGATTTTCAAAATACCTAATTAGCTTTGAAAATATATATCTTGAGGGAAAACATTTAAAATAAAACTGCACTAACAAAACTATATAACAGGTTTTTTCTATCTGAGTTTATAATTTCAACAAAATTCATCTCTGGGTTTTCAGAAACCTACTTTAATCTGCCAGCTTAAGAACATTTAGGGGGTAATATATTAATCATGATTGGGAGCGGGTGTTAATTGCAGAAGTAAAACTGCATGAAGTCAATTTCATTCGAGATGAAGTGATGGAAATAAGAAAATAACAAATCAAAATCTCATCAATAAGAATTTATATAAGATCCTAGTTTTTGCATAATTTTTTTGCGTTTTTCAATTACAGGCATGTTATTTTCTTCGTGACGGATAATTTACATTATCTACATCCACATATATTTACAAATTTATTCAGTAATATTCAAACAATTAAAAACAAAAATCTGATATCTAATTTAAGGTTCAGCTGTCAATTTAAGTTATTTGAAAATAACTTACTTTTCTACTATCATTGTACATCCAGAATTTAATCCTCTCTTACAAGTGCACAATACTTTCTTTTTCACTCGGGAATTTGTTATGTTTTTGTCCTGGTGGTGTGCGGTGGAGAATCTATGTACCGTATAAAAACTAAATTGGGTGTATTTGCATAATTATGCTGAAAAGCAAGGTTGTTTTTTCGAGGAAATGACATAGACGTGTCTGATGCCCCATCAGTAGAATTATCTATAGTCTTGTTTTAGCATAAGAATAAAAAATCTTACTGCAGCACTTAAGGGTGCAGAAAATTCGGATTCAAATTATATCTTAAATTCTATGATATTATTTCTACGATCATTTCATAAAAAATATTCCTCACAAGGTTGTTTTGGTAAGTCTTATCAAAAGCAAAATATCATTCGAAAATAATCTTCAATGATTTTTATCTAAATTTAACGTAATTTTTATTATTGCTAACATGATTTAAAACAGAATTTCCATTAGTTTCATAATAATAAATGGGCTAGAAATGTTAATATTTAATATAAATACATTTAAATTAAATTATCTAAATTTCAATATTTCGCTGCAAAGATCATCGTTCACTTGGAATGATCCCTCAAACAAAGCTACATTTTTTTAATTAAATTCATTTGTCCTCGCTTAGCACGGTTGAGTTTCAAAAAAGCTCGAAAAAAAATTTCATAAAATTCTTTTTACATTTCTGCTAAAATAGTTAAAAAGGTTTTATAATAAGTATAACACTACGCAAAAAATAAATACATTCTTGAAAAATGTGTTTTTTATTTCCTATTAAGAAAAGGATAACATATTTGTTAGAGATGAGATCGATCCTGATTTTTATCAAATTAGAATGCTAATTAGAATTTTGAAGGATTCGGTTCGAAGCTCAAAGTTCTTCGAATTATTTATATTATGAATAAAAGGAAGAAATAAGAAAAAAGTTTTATTTAATATGAAATATTTTTATCAATTTTTTTTAAATTTTTATTTTTAAAATTTTAAATCTGCGTTTAATAAAAAATAAATCGAATGCAGTTTTTGAAAATATTCTTTTATTTATCTAGAAAATACAAATGAAAGTTATCAAGTGAAATATATAATTTAAATAATTAATCTTGAGACTTTTTTCCTTAATCTAGTTTAACAAAAAAGTGCTATCAACAGTTTAGGATTTTTACATTTTCCCGGGTATTTTTTATATTAAAGCAAGTATAGAAAAATAAAGATTATTTCAAGATTAACATAAATAGACACTAAGCATGGAGAACACTAAATCCTTTTCAGAATATTTTAAGAATACATGAAAGTAAATATCTAACTCTTTTTGGATCAAGAACGAAATCGGTAGTTCAGGAACCATTGAAATTTCAGCAATCGCGTTCTTTTCTTAAAATTATTGCTGGATTAATAAAACTTATTTTTTCGAAGTGTAAGGATAAAATGTTTTGTACATTCTCAGGTTAGAATTTGAAAGATTTAAGTGATATAAAAGAGGCTCAAAGATTCGAATTTTTTTCAAGATTTATGGGGTTCAAAAAATCTAATATCCCATCCCCGATATTTATTATACTTATTCTGTTATTTTTTCATTAAGGGGTGTTAGAACCCAAAAATCTTCAAAAAATTGTGATTTCGGATTTTTGAATTTTCAAATTATCTACACTTTTATCTTTTTAAAAATACCATTCTTTAATCTCTATGAAAATTAGAACTGTAAAAATCTCGTTTTAATTTGTCATCGACTGCTTTGATGAATGAAGATTTTTACATAAAAACGCATTTTTCTCCAAACCTGATTTTTTTATACTCGATGTACTTTTTCTCAGGAACACTGCTCACAGATATCTAAAATTTGTATGGCTTATTTATTAGGTTTCCTAACATTTATTGAAATGAGCTTTTGTGGTAAACTAAGGAAAAAAAATTTAAATTTTTTGTGTGAGAAAAGTGCTAAATTTTACTATGCCTAACAAATTATTCTGTAAATTACTCTAAAATTCAAAATGTTTCAAAAGCTCATTTCAGTATAATCAAATAGGTATACTTTAATTACACAAACATTTTCAAGTGTGTATCTACATCAGATTTTGAGAAAAGGTACATCGAAAATGGCCAGTTTAACATTGTCGGTATAGGGGTTGCTGATACCCCTTAAGTTTCTTAATTGCGCAAGAAAATTTTCCAGAATTTACTATCCTTCTTAAACTTACGTAAATTTCTTTTTTCCCTCTTCTAAAAACAATTATCATTCGAAACTGTCATCATCTATTAAATATTGTACAATTGCCTGGTTAGGACAGAATGACTTGGAATTTTATACGCTAGCTAGGACTTTTTAGCATTTTTCATTGCATTTTATAATATTAAAGTAAAAATGTTTTTATCTGCTTTAAATTTGACATGTCACTTTTCTTCTGATATAAATTAGTTCAAAGCAATATTACATAAATATGTCTGTATTATAAGAAGCATCCTATATATTATAGGACGCTTTTCGCACGAACATTTGGAAAATACTGATTTCTTTTCAAAATCTTTTTTGCCGGAATTTATATTTTAAAAACTATTTCTTGAAGTAAGACAAATACTTACAAAATACCTTAAAAATGAGGAAATATAGTTGGAAAGAACATGTAGCTGCTCCGGATTGAAAGCCGCCTGAGATAACTACTGACCTGACTTTATTGTAAAAATCTTACAGTGTTAATAGTCATCCTGGCAGAAGGGAGGATTTCTTCCGTGTAAAAATATAAATATAAGTGTTACATGGGCATACAAGGCCTGTGTATAAGCATAGATATGTTAACTACAAACATTGTCTTGTACAAGTTACATGTGATAGTTACATAAAATCATGACAGTTATGTGCACATTTAAACATTATCTGAATTCACATTCAGAATACTTTTACTGAGGTAATCAAAGTAAACTTGTAATTCATTTACATATTGACTGGATTTCCAATGTCATTTTTAACTGCTTTACAATATTATTTTTATCAAGTACATATAAAATGGATAGTGATAATGCTTACATTACAATAATTTTTGCTCTTACAGTTCTGTAACTATTCTACGGGGTGAGCGATTTTTCTAATGTTGATTTTTAGTTGTTGTTGTATTATCCGGCTTAAATTGAGTGGGGAGTTATGTGACTCAATTTTCTGGTGCTTTAGCTGAATTGCTTGGAAAAGTTCCAACTGCTATTAATGTTGTAGTACCAATCAAGAGAATATCTTTGTTACTCTTCAATTACTTTGATAATTACTGCAAGAGTCAACTACACTAATCTGCTGCACCGGTAACTGCGAATTGTCAGCTCAATGTACTCCACTTTTCTAAGGCTTCTCCCCAACACTTTCATTTGCTATTAAAATTATGCTGCGAAGATACAATTCTCAAGGGAGGGGGAGAGTCTCTTAGTACCTTGCTAAGATCACCTCCTCTATCTTAGTTTTCGTCTGCTTGTTGCCGCAGGTATTCTCCGCCCATTGCGGCCAATATTCGCTGCTTGCCATTTTCAAATGCAGTTTATCGGTTTTGTGGGCAGTTGAAGAGGTAGTGATCTGCATCACCTACCGCACCACATTCACACAATTCTGATGCCCTTTTGCAGAATCCCTTAAGATAATAAGGGAAGGGACCATGGCCAGTGTAGAATTCTTGTAAAAGGCTATTGAGCATGATTTTTTTAAATAGGACTGCGGCACACTTACTGCGTTTTTCAGTCTATTGGTGTCATTGGCTGCAGATTTCGCAAGCATGTCCCCCGCTTCGTTGCCAGTAATACCTACATGAGCTGGAACACAGATCAGATAGGTCTGTCATCTGGTGGTATACCTAAAAGAATTTTCTGAGTATCTTACACCAAAGGACTCCTTGTCTTATGCCCTCGGATGAAGTCCAAACTTGAGGCAGAGTCGCTATATTTATTGACCTTTATTCCTAGTTGCAATTTTGCCAAATTGATGGCTGCTTTTAATGCAAGAAGCTCCGCCTGAAAGACGCTGTTTTTGTCTGCCAGTCGTTTTTCCCAAGTTTT